GTGTGTCATAATAGCATTTTTAAATTTCTGAGTTTCTAGTTTCTGGCCCTGACAAACTGGAAAGGTATGAGTGTTTGGATGTGGATATGCAGACATTTTTAACATTTTCAGATTAGGAGTCAGGGTAATGGTCTATACATATTCGTGTACACACACACAAATTCAGTTATTATGGGACTTGGAATTTTATATTCTATTACTGCGGAGAAAGGTGAACTTCTGTAGATGTAGTACCAGCTTTTGGCTTTGGCCCTTTTTGGGTGTAGACCATAAATCCTGGTACTAGAGGGATAGATTTGTACCTGTCAGTCGACTGTCGAGTCGTTCCCAGCGTAGCCTTCCTGCTGCTGCTTGCCAGTGGGCTCCCAGCAGCATGACTGCAGAGCGTTTCAGAACTCAGCACAGTAGGCTGGGGAGACCAACCAGTGGCTTTCTTCCCTTCCCATCTCAGGGGAACGTCCTTATTGCTGTGACCAGTGCGGGAAGCAGTTCACCCAGCTCAACGCTCTCCAGCGTCACCATCGCATCCACACGGGGGAAAAGCCATTCATGTGTAACGCGTGTGGGCGGACATTCACCGACAAGTCCACTCTCCGGCGGCATACCTCGGTAAGCAGTGGCGTGGCTTCCGCGGGGCCCGTCGCTGGTCCCCAGGTACACGTAACTTTAGGCAGTCAGAAATGCCAGCCATCATTCCATACGGTGGTCATAGAAGATAGCGGGCCTTTCCTTTTCAGGTTTTCCCTGCAGGGAGTACATTCACAGTGTGAACGGAGAACCGAGTCTCAGGGCCCCAAAGGCACAATCTGTGATAAGTGCTTCTTCACTGTGACAGTGGTGGGAGAGAGAGATTTGGCCATTAGTGAAAGGGTATTTTGCTACGGTGGAAACCAAATTTAAGTTGAAAAGAGACCATTGTTTTGAAAGATGCATTTGTTCAGAGACATGTTGTGACTTCTGTTTTGTGTTTGATTTGTAGATACATGATAAGAATACTCCATGGAAGTCTTTCCTTGTTATTGTAGATGGCTCACCCAAGAATGATGATGTGCACAAGACTGAGCAGCCAGATGAAGAATATACGCCATCCAAACTTTCAGATAAATTGCTGTCTTTTGCAGAAAATGGCCATTTTCACAACCTCGCCACAGTCCAAGGCAGTGTACCCATGGTGCATGAGAACAGTTCTGCAGACACGGCCTGCAAGTCGGATGATTGCGTGGTGTCTCAGGACACGCTGCTGGCCACCACCATCAGTGAGCTTAGTGAGCTGACTCCGCAGACAGACCCGATGCCCGCACAGCTTCACTCGCTGACCAACATGGAATGAGAGCTTAGTTAGCTGCCAAGCAGATCCTATACTGCTTCTCCACGTGTGTGATTGCTGTATGCAGGTTAATGTCAGGGGCTAAGACGAAGAACTGTCTGTGGGCAGAGTGGGCAAGAATACCTTCTGCACATTTTCCTGAATCTCTGCTAACTTGCACGTGTTTATCAAAGCATTTTTAGAGCTTACCCTTAAAAATCCCAGTCTGCATGATCTCAGCCACGCTTGATCGACAAACAAGGCAGTTAACACGACCTCACTGGATCCTGGTGCAGGTTGTGTGCGTAACACTTGTCCTGATGTGTAGGAAGTTTGGACAACTATGTAACTGTAGAATACAGAGCCCTGGCCCAGCTCATGAAGTTACTGTTAGTGATCTCCCTGGTCTCTCAGCCTGCCTTACCCTTCTGTGTGGGTTTAGTTCTCTGATAATTTTAAGCTATTTTTCTACCAAGCTAAAATAAAACTGGGACCATGTATTTTCAGCTCTTTCTTGTTGAATGGAAGCAAGTCCGTTTTGCTCTGGGGACCCTTGAGTTGGACTGAAGAAATGGATGGTTGCATTCATTCCCCTCCACCTCCTGTCTGTAGGCACTAAAAAAGGAATGACAAATTGAACACTTGAAAAATGGCTTCGTATAATCTGTATTCACAGCACATTCGCAGCTAGGAAGTTGGCCATAGGATAACTGCTGAAATGAAGTGTGGTTGTTGGGTTTCATTCCTAAAGTCTGATTAGATAAAAGCTGTCCTACCAAAGATTCTAGCAGCAAATGGTGTAGTAGGTTTTGCAGAGGTGTGAAAGTGAAGAGGCTTTAGAACACTTGAAACACTGTGGAGTCCTTTTATTCACAAGTAGCAATGAGGTGATCTGGCAAATCTTAGAACACAGAGTGTTAGTATTTTTGGCTAGGTTTTCCCGACTTACTCTGTGATTTTCAGAAACCTAGAATTTCTCATTTACGTATCAGCAGCTTGAAACAGCCAAGTAATTCCCACGCATTTGTTTCCTTGGGAACATGTGAGCGTATAAGCAGAAGGGACCAAAAGCCTTGGAGTGTCTTTGATTATGCCTTAAGAGTGGGTTGTGAAGAACCAGGAACTTTGTTTTCAGTGCTCCTGTGGCTGGCTCTGCTGGCCTTCTGCTTAAAATGAATTTGCAGTGAAGTTAATTCTGCTGTATTTGCTAAGCCCAATTCTTGGTTCCAGTGGCTTGGGTGTGTTGCCGCATGCTAAGTGCTTTGACTCACATGTAACCCTAAACATAATAATTTAAAGAGAGAACCCCGAAGAATTCTTTTGTTCACTACTTGCTCTTTTTCTTACGTTTTAATTTATTAAACTTGCTGTGAAAACGTTCACTTTCTGAGAGAAAGGTACTTTATCCTAAGTTCCAGGATGAAGACACAGCTGCACTATGCCAGAAACTAATGTGGGAAGACTCTCCCTAAATGCTTATTTTGTTCTAACTTGTAACATGTTAAGTAAATACTAAAGCCACTCTAAGATGTTTTAGAGGTGCTGATAACATGTTTCACACTTGCTCTTGAAGATGGCAGTACTGAATTTTCAATGATGACAGCATATCCTGGTTGTGTTTACAGAACAACAACAACAAAACTGTCACACAACCATTTTACTTTTGCTAAGAGAATGAGCCTGCTCAGCTGATGTACTGTTTCATGGAATAAAGTCATCTTAATGAGAAGGAGTTTAAATAATAGATTATTTTGTTACCTACTGGAAGAATTTTTGTCTTGAATTTGTTTCTTTAGAAATTCTACAAAAAATCGTTTAATGTGTTAATAAATGTTTGCTTTCTAAAAAGTTCGGCAGGTCTAGAGTTTATTTCCACTGTTAGAATCTAGGCTTTGTAGAAATAAGATTCTTAATTGGAACAAGTGTAATTCTCTTCCATTTCATGAGTAGTGAAATGTCAAATCAGGATCTGTAGTCCTAGGACTAACTGTCTGGACTGCATAATGACTACACACATGAAAGCCTGGTGGTGAGGGACGCTGGCCTCTGCCTGCAGGGGTAGTATGCCGTGTAGTTGGTGCTGGGGCGGCTGCCGAAAGGCCTCTTCAGTGATGTGACAGTCTCCGTCATGGGCACGTCTCCAGCTAGACCCATTTCTCTGTCCTTCCCGGGAGGGTAAGGCTGCGTCCGAGAGCAGAGAAATGCAAAAACCCTGTAGAAGACCCAGCACAGAGGGATTTGTGGGTGTCGTGATTCCTCCTAATCCAAGTACAGTCCTGCTGAGAGAAAGCAAGGCTGGCCTCTGAGTATGTGGGTCCCAAAAGCATGATCAGAAAGTGCCCAGGGTGCGGGTGCTGCTCCTCCCAGAGCATCATGAAAGGCGACTGCGGGGGTGATTTAGTGCCCTCCAAACATTTTATGGGAAATGCTCTCAGCACAAAGTCCAAAGCATGCTGCCACCTTGGATTTTACCAAAATTTGTTGTACAGAATTTGAAGAAAAAAGCCATGTTGTGGTGGGGGGTGCTGGGGAAGACCTTTATACTAATTGACTTTAATAGAAATGTGGTTTTGCTGTAGGTGATAATCCAAACCAACAAATTTGAGTATAAGTTTTAATTCTAACCTGTTCAGTTTTACACCTTGCCACACCAGGGACATATTTTGAGACCAAATGTGTGCTTGTCTCTTTAACTAAACTTGATGGTGTTCATGTTACTTGAAGTAACGATATTGTTTCAGTGGGGAGTATGAGGCCTGGGGCACTCATGCAAAGGGTCATTTGTTCACTTGTACCCAGCAGGCCGCAATAACCAAGCAGGCTACAAACGTGGCTCAGAGGGCCATCTGGCATATCATCCTAGTTGGGCCCCAGAAATCATCTACTCACTTCTACCAATCTGTACAGGGATCCTTTACCACGGCTGGTAAAGCCAGGTTTTTAAACCACCATGGTGGCTTCCATTAGGAAAGGATTCTGAGAAGAGAATCTGAATGAGAACTAAATGAGAATGATCAACTTCTCAGAATGCCTAGACTGGAACAGCCTGTTCTACCATTCATTTTTTCAAACTTGCTTTGAATTATCTTTAAGTTGTTGTGAATATATTGATGGACCTGACCACTGTTCTCTGAGGGGAGGAGCCGGCCCCGTGAGAGCTCCTGCCCCCAACCACATCCTCCTCCTCCCCAGAACTTGAGGCCCAAATGGCCTGTGGCTCGACCTGCCCCAGGGGCATGTGTCGCCCCATACAGACATCCTGCAGAGTTACACAAACACCCGCACTGTGAACAGACTTGAGGGGCTTCAGGGTTCCTCACCCCTCCCCCCCGACCTAACAGTCTTCTAGAAACCCTCCCTCCCTGCACCTGGCAGGTGACTGGGGCCTAAGGTATGCCAGCAAGAGTCCCTTGCCAGGGGTGGCCAGAAGGGACGACACCGTACAACCCAGTGACTGCACCTACAGGCTGGTACCAGGGCTTCCTCATAAACCCTCTGCTGGCAGACCTGCTACAGTGCCCTGCATTTCCAAGTGATGGAGGTTTTGAGGTAGCCAAACTCATGTTTGGATGGATATTCAAAGAGCCTAACGAATATTAATATCCATTTCCTTAAACCTTAATGGGAACAACTTCAAAGAAAGGAAGCTACTCTTGATTTGTGTAAATTTACATAGGAAAGACCCATCAAAATATTACTCATAATTTCCACTTTATTTTCTGTACAGGGTGACATAAAACATACTCTTTCTGCTAAGGTAGAGTGATCGTCACATGGTTAGTTTTCACAACATAATCCTCCACTGGAGAGCACAAGGGAGGAGACCCCACAGTGCCCGACACCGCACTTGGCAGGCAGGGGCCCGCTCCGGGCCACAGCTCCCACTTCAGGCAGGTGGGTCGCAGGCGGCATGCTGTGCTGCCGGGTCCCCCAAAGGAAGCCACAGAGGTTTGCATTTGGACATTTTAAATGCACAGTATCAGAGAAAACAATAAATGCACACACTTTGGTTACAGGGATGGCATCACATACGGTCACAACTGTGCAAAAATACTGTTTTCAAATCATTAAATAAAAAAGGAACTCACACAAGCTATAAAAATGTTGCCACAAAAAGCAAAGCTTTCCTGTAAGAAATTTTAACTGACTCTATGAACCCCAGATTTGCTAAAATACAAGAACCAGAACATAAATAGTCATTATATTTTATTCATAAAGAACATTCTGTTAACTCCTGAAAACCTAACTCGGGCCTCTGAGTCATGGTACTACCCTATGTTAAGGGGACATTTCAAAAGAAGGAAGTTTGGATAATGTTAATGGGACTTTTTCTTCTCATTTTCCTTTTATCTTCTGGCAGTTCTGTTCTAACCATTACAATTATTTTTACTCTTTTCATGTGAAATATTAAAAACAAAAAATTCTTAACCCAGCCACTGATCCCAGTGTTTATTTCAAGACAAACCAGCAACTCTCCAACTGACAAAACAAAATGGTACCAGTACTGTTTTTACAAACCCCACCTCTTTCTCAGACAGGGATCTGACAGGGGACCATGATGAAAGCTAAAGGAATCCTCTTAAGAGCAATCATTTGGTTCCTACTTTCAGTGGTCAAACCAGACAGTCCTTTTAACAAGTGAAAACAAACCTTGCACACTAGTGATGAAACAAGCAGGCTGGCAGGCTAGGATTTAAATGCTCTCCAGATGGGACAGACTTATAGCCTGAGGATACAGGCAACAAAAGCACCCCCCATGCCTCACTTTCACAAAAGTGCATTTGGCTGGTTGTGGAACAGATGAGGCATAGGAACCCACTCTCTGCTCTAATCATTTCTTTGTAAGAAAGTCTGACAGGAAGTGAAGAAGTACCAAATGGGCTGCATTCCAAATTGTACTGTAAGTGATAGCCAGCTTTCTTCTAAGAATCCCAGAACTTTGAAGGAAGGAACATTCATCATATCCCAGGGTGCAAGGCAAGAATGTCCACGTCTTCTGGTCCATTCGGCCCACACTGTGACATCTCTGACCTTCCTCCCCACCAGGCTATGTTGGCAAAGGTGGCCTTACAACTGCAGCCAGGAAATCCACAGCCACCTGAGGGACAGCCTCCACTACCAGGCCTCAGCTGGCCCTTTCCACCCGCCTGAGGGACAGCCTCCACTACCAGGCCTCAGCTGGCCCTTTCCACCCGCCTGAGGGACAGCCTCCACTACCAGGCCTCAGTTGGCCCTTTCCAGCTACTTTCTTGCTACTTTCTCCTTCATCTCAGCCCGACCCAAGCACCATCCCCTTGCCTTCCTCCACACTCAGCCCATTTCGTGGCCACACTCTCTACTTCTGTCCAACATAAGCCTACCAATCCCAGTGGAGGGACATCCAAAAATGAAAACACCCTTCAAATGCCAGTTTCCATGTGACCTAACATGGGAAATTTCATTATCTGTCTTTAATGACAGCTACATAATTTAGAAAGACCCACAAGCTAGGACTGGCAAAAAAATGCATGTCAAACTTAAGTCAGTTAAGCATAAAAATACACACAGGGAAGATTCCAGAAACAAGACCATGTCTAAAGTACAGTATCTGCATGTAAGTTCATAAATCAATAGAGCACATATTATGTAAACCAAAACGACATACTAAATTCAAACATACAAGCCAAAACAATTCCATTAGCTGAGAGGAAAATCAATTCTCCCCAGAAGCTGGTTGCCCTTCTTCCCCAACTGGACACATAGTAAACCTCTGTACTGTATTTACCCCACCTAACCCATCACATTCCATAAAAGGGTAAAATTAATGACCCACTCTCTCTGCAGCCTTGAAGAGGATTCACATGGTGGTGGCACACCAGGCACAGTCTCAACGTGGGTAAGTGTATGAATGTGAAAGTAAGCAAAAGGGACATGCCAGTCAAATCACTTTTATGTGAATATCTCAACTAAAAGTGGAAACTATCTCCAGGAAAGGGAAAAACTGTTTTGTACAGATCTCTTGTGTGTAAAGGAGTACGAATCCATCAGACTCATCCTGACGTTCGCCCACACACATCAGCAAGCCCTGCCAGGAAACTCTCTTTTCTCACAACGTTAACTAAGGGATGCTGGCAGACCCCGGCTGTTCTGAATTTTCGCATGCATATTAGCAAACACAACAATATAAAAAGCAAACAAATGGGTCACTAGCACCGTCAAAAGAATCATGACGACAACAACAAAAACCACTTCTAGGAAGTGAAGTCATAAAGCTCATTCTTAACAACCATCCCGAACTAAACATGTACACTTAAAGAATACATCCAGGTGGGAATTTATGGAAAATATGCAAAGCATCTATTACAATGATTAGGCTGGGTACTCCAGTCCAAGAAAATGACATAAAAATACATGACAAAGTTGAACATGGGCTCTGCAGATATCAAAATAACAGGAAAAAAATTCTGAAGTAGTTCTCAGAAAACTCTGGGGGCTCTGACAAGCATGAAATAGCCCATCACACCCACGATATGCACAGGAGCTTCCCAGCCGTCCGCTTCATGAAGACACAAACACAGGGAGTTTAAACACACAGATGGTTTGGCTCATGTGCAACAGAAGTAAGCCATTAAATGGGCATCCCATAAAGATCATGTGGCCCTAACATGAAACTAAAGAGGAGTCAGCTGCATGCCACAAAGACATAAATGTTCACTTTAGGTCCCCGTCTCCTTCTCCATCCCCTTGGATGGACTTTTTGATACGAAGCAACATGGTCGTGAGCCACTGATCTAAGCGAGATATTGAGTCAAATTCCTTCACCTAGTTTAAAAAAAGAGGAACAGGAATTAGTCTATGGAAATACAACCAAAACACACACAAAGAAAACACCTCAAGCTGTTTAAACATTTCTAGTGATAATCCTTCATTTAAATCATTCATTCTAGTCTATAACTTTATTCATGAAAAATGGTTTGTTTAAATCATTCATTCCACTTTATAACTCTTTTCATTAAAATGGTTTGTTCTGTGACTATCTGGATGGAACCAGTGACAAGTTCCTGGGCTTTTTAAACCGCTCTGTGTGCTAACATGCTGAGCTCCTAACTGCCTTTGTAACTGGAAGAGCATACTTAATGTGACAAAGGAAACAAGACCCTGTGTAAGAAGGGAACATGGAAAATTCATAGTGTTCTAATATTCACTGAACATGCATCCACGTACTTGCAGAGACAGGATGTGTGAAAGTGGAATCCCTTTAACTCATTTCAGTGCACTACCGGAAAGTGATTATTTCAATAGGATGCAAATGGTTTGGTAGCCAAAGTGAAACAGGAAAACATTCTTTTCCACTACTGCTTCAAAGCCATGAGTAAATTAAAGGAGGATACTAAGAAATCTGCTTGATTCTAAACATAAGATGGCAAATATGGGAAAACAGAAAACTAATGAGTATAAAAAAGTCTTCCATTTCTTTTATGCCAAGAATATAGCAAACTCTCACTGTTTTTATATTTTAAGCTGTACTTAACTGATTTTACTTTATACTTATTTATGGATCAGATTATTTTCAAAAGAAAACATTCAAATAGCAAATTTTAACAGTATGCGATAGTCTCTTAAATTTGCCTCCCAGCCAAATTCAACATGGCTAATAGAATTAAGTAATTGTAAAGATTTGTGGGATATATAAAACATGACCTTTGGGAAACACAACTTAGGCATATTGGAAAAATGTTCGAATAAACATTCAGCACTCATACAATGAAAAGATGTTTCTGTAGTTTAAACTTCCAAGAATGTACTGTACCCCGAATGCATAACTTACTGCTTCAGTGTAAGCTTCACTGTTCTGTTCTTCATGAGCTTCTAGAAGTTTCTGGTAGCGTAAGTATGGAAAAATTAGTTTGGTAGGCTAAAAAATTCCACCTATGAATAGATACTTTAAATACAGAAATAGCCTTAGTATCACATCAATTGATATTGCCAAACACCTTACAGAATAGAGAAAATACTCAAATATAAGCCATGAATTATCCCAAATCAGGGACCTAGTTTTTGTGCTAACATTTCTGAGTTGCTTGGTTTAGAACACAATGCTTATGTCCTTGACTCTGCTGGCATCTGAAACCTATTCTACAAAAGCAGGAGAGTGCCAGTGCTCCTCAAAGAATTAGAGTTTCACTTTAGACCTGATCCCACCTGACAGCAAAGGCTTTTTTTTTCTTCTTCAAATTTGTGATGTTACTTACTTTCAGTAACTTACATTCCCTTGAATCAGTAAATGCTGGAAACATTTCCTCATATTTCTCAAGAGCAAGCTGAAAGAGAAAAGCCACTCATTAATGTCAAACTCACTGAATCAGGAAATAAAGCCCTTTCTATCTGAACATCTTACCACTTCAGTAAGATCTTTCTGCAGCCTATTTAAATGTATAAGAAGTATGCTGTTAAACTCAACATCAAAATCAACACAGGAAACCCTATTCAATTTGAATTGCCACCTTCAGTTAAGAATAAATTTCTAAACCAGTTTTTCTGAATTAGGTTGCTGTAGAGAGGACAACATGGACCAAATCTAATTTGTAAGAACTCACAGACCAGGTGTCTGTTTCCACCCACTACATAAAAAAGCTCTTCCTTAACACTGTCCAGATTCCACATAAATCACAGTCAGACCTCTGTGCTTGAGTCTGGAGGGAAGGACGCCTTTCCTCTCAGCAGTTTTACTTCTGCTCTCCCAGCCCCAGACATGACGACAGCAAGGCCGCCCAAGTCTCTGCCTCTGGTCTCCCCAGGCCACATTCTGATGTGATTTTGGAGTTTGAAACAAAGAATGTTATTCCACTTTTATTGTCTCCTCCCTATGCCCCCTAATTTCTTTTTTTTTTAAGATAGATTTATTTATTTGAGAGAGAGCATGAGCGGGAGGGGCAGAGAATCTCCAGGAGACTCCCCGCTGAGCAGGGAACCTGACACAGGACCCTGAGATCACAACCTGAGCTGAGACCCAGAGTCCGATGCTTAACCAACTGTGCCACCCAGGGGCCCCAGCCACCTAATTTCTTTAAAGCAAAACTACTGTAGGGAATGCAGCTAGCACTTCGGCAGTGGTTTCAAGATTACAGCTGGGATGCACAGCATAGTATTACTGTTATTATTATTATTATTAATGCATGCAGTTTGGTCTTACTATAACCAATATCACCCAACAAAGCATATCGTGAATGACAGAGGGCCTGAGGCCTGTTCTCATGGTAAAGTGCAGCCGAAATTGGCACTGCGGGACTCTTACCTTGGCATTCAGTTCATCTACTATGAAGTGACAGAGGGCTGCTTTAAAGAAGTAGTCCTTTGCACTGTACTTCAACAAAGGATTATCCATGGTGTTTGCCCCAACCTAGGCACAGAAAGCAGATTTAGATTTCAAGGGTTTGCCTTCTTGTAGTAGGCAAACTGATCCTCATCTGCCCTTTAGAAAATACTTGTGTATCTTACATCAGTTTAGCTATGAATATATTCTTTTAACCCAGTATCACACACTAGACAAGAAACAATATTTAATATATAAGTGCTAACCTGTTAAAAATGCCCCAGAAAACTTCTACTTCTACTTCCAGGAAGATGGAAGATGGAATAGACATTATTTTTCTCTATCCCTCCTGCTAAGAGCAACTGAAAGCCCCAGTCATTTTATATAAAACCAACACAAGGAGACTGAAAAGTAAAGACAAGACAGGAGACCAGCTAGGGACCTTAAGACACACAGAAAACACAGCAGGGAGTTCTCTGGGTTTTCGTTTTCTTTCACATATCCCTAACTTGGAACAGAAAAAGCCAGCAACCCGTAAATGCCACACTAGAAGCAGCAGAAAAAAAAAAGAAAGAAAAGAAAAGAATACACAGAAGTTTGCTTTCTCTAGCTGAAGGACCTGGAAAAGGGCAGCCTAGCAAGAAAGAAAAGTTTAGGTAATTACTGCTCTACTCTAGCCAAACACCACAGAACACTATGGCCCCACCCCTACTCACTTCAGTAAAGGCCCTAGATAGAACTGAGATGTCAATGCTTTTGAGATGCAATTGTGGAGGAACCCCAAATCCCTGCCAAGGTGGCTTCACAAAGGCCCAGAAGGGAGCCACGCCTTCATCCCTGTCAGCTTGTAATGGCCCACCCTCCTCCATCCCTGCTGTGAGGCAATGGAGACCATGTGGGGAGCCTGGGTCTCTCCTCCACCCAGCAGGAATGAGGCATCATCCCTCATCTCCCAGCAGTTGTGGTTTCAGAAGAGGCCTAGTGGAGGATTAAGACTTCTATCACCACCCAGGAGTAATGAGAACAATCCCAATGTGGTGTTGGTGGAGGGCAAGAAAGGGTAGGAATGGCCGCCTCTGCCCAGCAGTAAGCAACACTCCCCTTCTGCTGCCAGAGCAGGGTCACAGGAAACCAGCTGAAAGAGAAGGTTTATTTATTTATTTTAAGGAGAGAGAGAGAGCATGAGCAGGATGGGCAGAAGGAGAAGGAGAGAGAATCTCAAGCAGACTCCGTGCTGAGTGCAGAGCCTGACACAGGATTCGATCTCACGACCATAAGATCATGACCTGAGCCAAAACCAAGAGTTGGACGCTTAACTGACTGCGCCCCCCAAGCCCCCCTGAGAGAAGGTTTAAATATGATCTAGTCCAGCTGTCACTAAGAAAGGAGATCGTAAGCTGAATGAAAAATAACAACCAATAGATGACGGCTCTGAGGTGACAGAAATGTTAAGATTATCCAACAAAGATTTTTAAAGGAGCCCCCAAAAAAATGCTTCAACAAGCAATTACAAAAATGCTTAAAACTAAAGAAAAAACAGAAAGCATCAACAAAGAAAAAAGAAATTTCCAGCAAAAAAAACCCCATAAGATATAAAGAAGAAACAAATGGAAATTTCAGAACTGAAAAACACAATAACTTCACAAAAAGTGGACGGGTTCAACAGAATAGACAGGAGAGGAAAAGAATCAGTGAACTGATGACAGAACATTAGAAATTACTCAGTCTGAATAAAAGAGAGCAGAAAACAGACTGAAAAAAAAAAAAACAAAATGAAAAACAAACGAACAGAGCATCAGGGACCTATTGGACTATAAAATAAGGTCTAACCCTCAGGTTGTCTAAGTCCTGGGAGGGGAGGACAGAGAGAAGGGCTGAAAGAGTAATTTAAGAAATAATGGCTGAAAACTTCCTAAATTTGGCAAGAAACATAAACCTACAGATTCAAGAAGTTTAGTGAAACCCAAACAGGATAAAAGCAAAGACACCCAAGCCAAGCCACATAAACTTCTGAAAAACTGAAGCTAAGGAAAAAACTTTAAAAGTGGCCAGAAAAAAAACAACACCTTACCTACAGGAGAAAAATAACTTGAATGAAAGTGGACTTCTCATCTCTCAACATGCTTCAGGAATGAAGGGGAAATCAAAACATTCCCAGATGAAGGGACACAAAGAATTTGACAGCAGTAAAACCTATCCTAAGAGAATGGCAAAAGGATGTTCTCTAAATGCAAAGGACACAATGAAAGAAGTAATCTTGGAACATCAGAAGAAAGAAAGAACACAATAAGCAAAATATGAGTAAATACAATGGGCTTTTCTTCTCCTCTTGAGTTTACTAATATGTTGGAAGATTGAAATTAAAATTATATCATTGACTGAGGTGGTTCTTAAATATGCAGAGAAAACAGTTAATTTATACTGAATGGGGAGGAGAAAGGGACAAAAAGTAAGACCTCTATATTTCACTGGAAATGATAAAATGATATCATCAGCAGCTTATGATAAATCATGTACATGTTACTTAGAGCAACCACTAAAAACAGGTAGTCAAAGACATTTACTCGAAAACACTACAGATAATCAAGCAACCCACTATAAGGCAGGAAAAAGAAAACAGAAAAAAAAAAACCCAGATAAATAGAAAACAATAAATAAAATGGCAGACTTAAGCCCTAATATATCAATAATTATATTAAATGTGAATGGTCTAAATATACCAATTAAAAGACAGAGACTGGAAGAACAGATTAAAAAGCATGACATAACTATATGCTGTCCATAAGAAACTCACTTCCATTATAGTGATAAAGACAGGTTCAAAGAAAAAGGATGGGAAAAGATATATCACATAAATATTAACCAAAAGGAAGCAGGTGAGGCTATATTATCAGATAAAGCAGACTTCAGAACAAAGAAAACTACCAGGGACAGAGGGGAACATTATATAATGATGAAAGTGTCAACCCACCAAAAAAACATGGCAATCCTAAACATGTATGCAGCAAACAAGAGAGCTGCAAAATATGTGAAGCAAAGACTGATAGTAATGAAAGAAGAGAGACAAATCCACAATCACAGTCAGAGACTCCCAACACTCCACTCTCAACAATGGATAGAGATAGAAAATCAGCAAGTATACAGAACTCAACAACGCCATCAACTGAGAAGATCTAATCAATACTACAGAACATGTTACCAAGAAACAGCAGTCTCACAGAACAAATGCCAAGTCAGACCATATTCTGGGCCATAAAACAACTTCAACAAATTTATAAGACTTGAAATCACAGAGTGAATTCTCCAGCCACAATGGAATCAAATCAGAAATCAACAGAAAGATAAAGAGGAAAACCTCCAAACACTTGGTAATTAAGCAAAACACATCTAAATAATCCACAGAAATCAATACATACAATGAAATAAATAAAATATACCAGAATTGTGAGACATAGTGAAAGCAGTGTTTAGAGGGGAACTTATAGCACTAAACATGTATACACAACAAAGAGGAAAACCAGTTCCTATCTCAACGCCCTAAAAAAAGTATAAAATAAATCTAAAGAAAATGGATGAAATAATAATATTAGAAATCAATGACACTGAAAACAGAAATACAGAGAAAATCATTGAATTCTACCAAATGTTTAAAGAACGAACATCAATCATTCACAAATTTTTCCAAAGAAGAGAAGGAAATACTTTCCAACTCATTCCATGAGGCTACTATTACCTTGCTACCAAAACCAGACAAAAATCTCACAAGAAAATTAAAGATCAATATCCTTATGAATATAGATTGAAAATCCTCCACAAAATACTAGCAAACTAACTGTGACAACTTATTAAAAGGATTACACATTATGACTATACAGTACAGGATTAATTTTCTCCTAAGTGAGGTCTTGCCTTTGTCTGTGGTTCCTGGGGTGTTATCTCTAAGCCCTTGCTTGGAACGGCCTGCTTGAAAGACTGTTTTTGTTTACCTGGGTGTCTCTGACAACACGGTTCAGCTGAACCATTGTAGGGACTGGAGAATCTGTGACTGAGCCACAATAAAAATTCGAGACACCCAGTACAGGTGAACTTCTTCCCCTGTTGGCAATATTCCATGGATATTTTCATCACACATCATCATTGGGAGAAGTAAGTGCTACCTGTACAACTCCACTGGGGAAGGGCAAAACAAGTTCTACACTTGCAACTCTCCTGGACCCTGCCCTAAGCACACCTCTTGCTTTTGCTGATTTTAATCTGTATCCTTTGGTATAATAAACCATAACTGTGGCGTAACAGCTTTCACTGAGTCCTGTGAGTGCTTCTAGAGAATGATCAAACCTAAAGGTACTCTTGAAGAGCCCCAAACTTTGCAATAATCAAGAAGGATTTATCCCAGGAATATAAGGTTGGTTCTAAATATGAAAATCCATCAATGAAATACAGCATATTAATAAAGAACAAAAACCATACGATCATCTCAACAGATGCAGAAAAAAACACTTGACAAAACCCAATATGCCTCAAGGATAAAAACACTCAACAAAGGAAGAGAAGGGTACTTCCTCAAACTGATAAAGCATATCCACAGAAGCCCCACAGCTAACATCCTATTTAATGATGAAAGACTGAAAGCTTTCTGTCTAAGATGGGAATAAGACAAGGATGTGTGCTCTTGCTACTTCTAGTTACCATTGTTCTAGAAGGTCCAGTCAGGGCAAATAACAAGAAAATGAAGTAAAAGGCATCCAAATTGGAGAACAAGTATAGCTATCTGCAGATGACATGATTACATGATTTTGTACAAACAGAATCCCAAGGAATCAAAAAAAACCAAAAATCAAACAAACAAAAATACCCAAACCCATTAGAGTTAATAAAGTAGTTCAGCAGGGTTGCAGTGTATAAAACTAGCAATTAACAATCTAAAAAGGAAACTGAGAAAACAATTACATTTACAATAGCATCAAAAAGAATAAAATACTTAGGAGTATATTTAACCAAAGAAGTGCAAGGCTTACACACTAAAAACTTTAAGATATTACTGAACAAAATTAGAGAAAATCTAAATAAATGCAAAGGCAACTTGAGCTCATAGTTTGGAAGACTTAACAATGTTAAGACGTCAATACTTTCCAAATTGGTCTACAGATTCAATGTAATCTCTTATCAAATTCCAGCTGACTTCTTAGCACAGACTGACAAACTGATCCTAAAATTTGTATGGAGATGACAGGGTCCCAGAATAGCCAAACAATCTTAGGGAAAAAAAGGATCAAAGTTGGAGGACTCACAGTTCATGATTTCAAAACAAAGCTACATAATCAAAACAATGTGATAATGGCACACAGACAGACACGTTAACCAACAGGACAGAATAGATGGTCAAACAGAGTATCAGTCAAATAACTTCCAATAAGGGGGCCCAGACCATTTAATGGCAGAAGGACAGTGTAGTCAACAAAAAGTGCTGGGAAAACTGCATATCCACAAGCAAAAGAATGAAGTTGGATCCTTACCTAACACTACATACAAAAATTAACTCAAAATGAATCAAAAGACCTAAACCTAAGAGCTCTAACTATAAAACTCTTAGGATTTCGTCCAAGTTAAAAACTACATGTCAAAGGACATCAACAACAGAGTAAAAAAGCAACCCACAGAATAGGAGAAAATATGTGCACATCACATATCCGATAATATCTAAAATATAAATATAAATGAAATATGAATATCTAAAATAAGAATTTCTAAATTCTTAAGAAATAAGAATTCCAAAATGTAATACTAAAAAGCAAACAACCCACTTCAAAAATGGGCAAAGAAATCGAACCATTTCTCCAGTGAAGATATAAAATGGCTAACAAGCGATTGAAAAGGGTCAACATCACCAGCCATGAGGATAATGGAAATCAAAACCACAACGAATCACTTCATACTCATTAGGGTAACTATTACCAAAAAAACCCAAAAAGTACTGGTGAGGATGTGGAGCAACTGGAATCCTGGCACATTGCTGGTGGGATGTAAAATGGTGCAGGTGCTGTGGAAGAGTCTGGCGGTTCCTCAAAAAGTTAAAAAAAGACCTGCCACATAAACCAGCAATCCCAATCCTAGGTATATAACCAAGACAACAGCAAGCCTCCCCTCACAAAAACATGAACACAAGTGTTCAGAGCAGCATTATTCATAATAGTTCAAAAGTGAAGAAAACTCAAATGATAAACATTCACTGATAAACAGGTAAACAAACTGTGGAATATTACTCAGCTATGAAAAGAAAGGAAGTATCATTACATGCTAAAATAAAGAACTTTGAAAAAACTATGCTATGTGAAAGAAGTCAGTCACAAAAGGCCACTTATCCTAGAAGGCCTAGAATAAACAAATCCATTGAGACAGAAATTAGACACTGGTTTCCAGAGACTGGGAGGAGGGGAGAATGGGGTGTCTCCCCAGTGGTGGATAACGAAAATGCCTTGGAATTAGGTGCTGGTGATGGTTACACAATTCTGTGAATATACTAAAACCCACTGACTTGTATTCTTTACCAGGATGAATTATATGATGTGTAAATTATATCTCAATTAAAAGCAAAATTAAGTAAAATGTATAATTAAAAAAGAACAAGATTCAGTGACTTCTGCCGGAAGTTGGTGAGACCGTAGCAGCCTCACCTGCTCGTAGATCTCGATGGCTTTCTGGTACTGCTCCAGCTGGGCGGCATACGCTGCCACTTTCAGCAGACACTTGTTAGCTGAACTGAAATCAAGAACCAGAGCAGAGCGAATAACAATCCAACAAAAAAATTAAAAGGTATCCCAGTACACCTCCATTTGGTACAGCCCAATATGCTCACAGAGTGCAGTAAAGGTTTGTCTTTTATCGCACATAACAAAACCCATTTAATTATATTAAGGAAAACAGCACTTGCCTGTTGGATTCTTCCCCTTTGTAATAATCAGCCGATTGTTCATAATGTGCAATAGCCTGAAAAACACACATGTATTTTATTCAAACTACTTCTCTGAAGAGCTACATTTAAAAATTACATTTGCATAGGTATTATTCCTACAGATAAGCCTATTTCAACAGCACACCTTTCACAACCTAGCCTCCTTTATTTGGGGAAGACACGAAAGCATGCACATCCAGAAGCCCGGTGGCATAATACTCACCATCCATCAAAATCTCTTCTTCCCTTCCCCCAAAGCAAACGCCCAGCTACACCATTTTCCCAGCCCCCAATGCAATGCCAGGCAGCTGTGACCTGCTGTTTCCAATAGAATGTATAGAGGCATGCTGTGGGCCTCTACCAGGCTTGGCCGGTCCATCTAACTGTACGTCTTTCTCCAGGCCTCTTCCCTTCCCAGGAGCTAGAACGGCAATGACCAAGTCTGGAGTGATAGTGGAAGCCACAAACCGAGGATGGCAGAACTACTGGTCTGCCTGGTTCCTAAATAACTACAAAGGGCAGAATGTACTTCATCCACCATGTACTGCTGCCAAACCCCGAACGGCTACACTGGATGGTTATTTTAAAGGCATATTAAGCCCTTTTGCATTTTAGATCTATAGCTTGCTAGAGCAGCACAGACTTTCCTCATTAATACCTTAAGTGTCATCTAGAATAAGGGTGTTGCCTTCATTCTAAAATGTGTGGTGCTGAATTAACAGTCAAGTGGAGAGGAAACAAGTTGCAGGCTGGAAAGCTAGAAGGCTTTGTCACATTGTGGCATAAGATATAGTAAAGTCAAGCATAGGACAACTCAGAAGGCAGAAGATATCCCTACTGGAGCCAGAAACTCTAAGGGAAGAAGCTCTATGGAAAGAGACAGATGATAGCGTGTAATGCTATCAGTTTTGTAAGAGCGTGTAATGCTTTCAGCAGTTTTGTAAGAGAGAAGAACTCTGGAAAGAACTAGCTTATTTGTAGGCAATTATAAAAGGGATAGGTAAAGTCCAGTGATAGGGCCTTATAAGACTGGAAAGGCCAGTGGCCTCTATACCCCAAAGAGCAAAACATAAGCCTGAACAACATTTTAAACTAGGGATCTGATGAACTTTTCTGTAATAGACCAGATTATAAATACTTTAGGCTTTGTGAGCCGTATGATCTGTTGCAACAACTTGGCTCTCCTGCAGTGCCACAAAAGCGGTGTCCATGTTCCAAAAACTGTATTTATGGACAATGACATTTCAACTTCACTTGATTTTTATGTGTCATGAACTGCTTTTTTCCCTAACAGTGATTAAAAAATGTAAAACCTATTCTTAACTTCTGGGTGTACATAAACAGGTAGTAGGTCTATAGACCTCTGCCTTAAATTTCAGGGTTTTCCCAGTTAAGTCCTAAAGAGGAAGCTGGCATTATGCAAACATCAGACTACAGGTGCTCCCTTCCCACTAAGCCCATAGCTTCAAGGAAGTCCCACCAAATGACTTAAGAGAGAGGCACAAAGACAAAACAACAAACAAAACAGGCTAGAGAACTACGTTAAAGCTTTGGCTATGGTTCCTGAGAGCTGACTGGAAATGGACAGACCTGGCCGTACGTAAAGCCTCAGCCCCCACTTTCTGCACGTACTAGTGCAATGACCAAGACCAACAATGATTTGGTTTACAAAATTTGTTTACCTCTGAGGCCTCAGGCTGAAGGGCCCACAGCACATTAGTCAAGTCTGGACTGCAGAGCACCACTGACAGTGTGTGAAAAACTGACATTTCTAGGTGTATTTTTTTTTTAAGATTTTATTTATTTATTTGATAGAGCACAAGTAGGAAGAGCAGCAGACAGAGGGGCAGGCAGAGGGAGAGAAGCAGGCTCCCCGATGAGCAGAGAAGTTCGATCCCAGGAACCTAGCCCTGACATTTATGGGTTTAAATAATTATGTTTTGGGTCTTCTTGATTAGCCTATCCTAACTAATATGCTCCCCAAACAAATTTTCTGAGTATTATTTATAACAGGGGCAAAACTGGAAACAAGGTAAGTGGTTAAATATAATAGACTAAGATTAAGAATAATGACAGGGCGCCTGCCTGGGTGGCTCAGTCGGTTAAGGGTCCAACTCTTTTTTTTAAGATTTTATTTATTTATTTATTTATTTGACAGAGACAGAGAGACAGCAAGAGAGGGAACACAAGCAGGGGGAGTGGGAGAGGGAGAAACAGGCTTCCCGCCGAGCAGGGAGCCCGATGTGGGGCTTGATCCCAGGACCCCGGGATCATGACCTGAGCCGAAGGCAGACGCTTAACAACTGAGCCACCCAGGCGCCCCAAGGGTCGAACTCTTGATATCAGCTCAGGTCTTGATCTCATGGTTGTGAGTTCAAGACCTGTGTTGGGCTCCACACTGGCTGTGGAGCCTCCTTAAAAAAAAAAAAAAAAAAAAAAAGATAATGACAGAGTATCAGTATGGAAATTTCTTCATGAAATATTAAATTAACAAACAGCCATGAAAGAACAGATACACTGTGGACCTCTTTTTACAAATACATAAACACATACAGAAAACATCTGGCATAGATTCCTTTGGAGCATTTGTCAGAGCTGTCACATACGCACACCTGTGGGATAATCTGATCAATGTATGTATTCTCCCATTAAAATGCGAGGACAGGTTTCATGAGAGTTTTGCTCAACATTATGTCCCTGAGCCTAGCATAGTGTCTATCATATGGTAGGTGCTCAATAAATAGATGCTAAGTGAATGAAGGCAAGCTGCATTTAAAATGATGGACCCCTATTAAATTATTGCCAATATCTTAATCTGGAATGCCCACAAAAGAAGTTTTTCAGTGAATTCCTAATAATATCAGTGAATTCCTGACTACTAGTATTTTTTGAACTGTCCCCATGCTCTCAAGTATTTAGCACTCTTTTCCATCGTAACAAATGGGGTAAAGTATGAGAAACATGACCAAATCTTCAGTAAAGAGTATCAGATTACACAACCTCCTGGGGGTGGGGTGGGGAGTGTCACTACTTATCTTGCTAGTTCTCAACACCAGAACTCAATGAACAGTGTTGGGTTGAACTGTACGTAACTGTGGTTTTGGGGGTAAAAATAAATGGCCAAATGTGGACAACTGTGGATAATTTGGTTTAACCTAGTTCTTAATAATGATATTGATTCATCGAAATATTGTAACTGTAAACTATGGCTAGATTTATCATAGTAAAAAAGAAAACTAAAGCTTGGTTTTTAATAATGCTAATTAAACCAATAATCAAATTTTATGATAGTCCCAAGTTTTGACTGAGGCTATAGTTGAAAGGAAAGCTTATCTAGTGGCTTAACAGAGACGTTTTGGAGAAAAGAGGTTGTGACAGGTCATCTTTGGATGTTCATACCTGTTTAGAATTTTAACATGTAGTGAAATTTACCAGGCACAAGTAGACCCTTCCACATTAGAAATCTGTTTCTTACTTACAATTTCAAAGATCATGATAAATATCAAAAGTAGAACACAGCCACCAATAACAACAGCACACACAACAAAAAACCAGATACAAAACCAGCTCGTTATCCTGTTATTTAAGTAGCCCACCAAAGGAACTGCAATAATATTCCTTCCTGGGGAATCTGGTAAATGTCACCATGCTGGAAAATACATAAATCCTGAAATGAGAGACAAGACCCTCTAGGACTGCAGTCCTCATCAGTGTTTCAAAGCAAATGCAATTTCCAAGTGTCAAGAAGAGTCCACTTCGTAGGTGAACTTAAACAGCCTTCAGATGGGATCAATTCTTTTAGAACATATACCCCCAGATAGGACCTAACATGAACTTGCCACAGACACACCTACATGGTAACAAACAGTAGTAAATCATGTTCTCGAGGGGCTGAAAGAGAAATGGATCACAGTTCCTCTGGGTCATTTAAAAGGCGTTCCTATGGGCGCCTGCGTGGCTCAGCTGTTTAAGCGTCTGGCTCGTGATTTTGGCTCAGGTCATGATCTCATGAGTCATGGGATAGGACTGAGCCCCAAGTCAGGCTCCACGCTCAGTGGGGAGTCTGCTTAAAGATTCTGTCCCTCTCCCTATGCCCTGCCCCCTTCACGCACGCATGCTCTCTTTAAAATGAATAAATCTTAAAAAAAAAATAAAAGCCCATTTAAAGAGGACCCATTTTATTATTTTGTTTGATTTCATAAAATCAAAGAAATAATGTTAGTCTTTGAAATTTCACACACTTTGTTCACTAGCTAAAATCTGTGAATGAATCAGAGAACATATAGCAGCTTATATTAACAGGGAAAAAAATTCATTCGTAGTAAGTGAAATGTAAGGTACCTTACGTTATATATATGTGTATATATAATGATACATATATATACTGATAACATAACTGATTTTTCAAACTTAAACTTCAAGTACAACGGAATACATCTGGTGAGTCCCACCAGGAAAGCGAAGGCAATGATATTTCTAAACACAGGAGCCCTTGGGGCACCTGGGTGGCTCAGTCGGTTAAGCATCTGCCTTGGGTTTGGGTCATGATCCCGGGCTCTCTGCTTAGCGGGGAGCCCTGCTTCTCCCTCTCCCTCTGCCTGCTGTTTCCCCTGCTTATGCTTGCTTGCTCTCTCTCTCTCTGTCAAATAAATAAATAAAATCTATTAAAAAATAATAAACACAGGAGCCCAAACATCAGGGAACACTACAAGGTAACCCTGTGTGCGCTGAGTGATACTCTTAAATTGCTTTTAAAAGGGCACTTCACATCAGTGAAGGGAGATGCCACCTGCTGGCCAACTCGTAGAATGGCAGGAAAACCATGAGTTAACGGGCTTCAGAAGCTTCCATGACAAACCATACTTTTTTTTTTAGAAGAAGGAAAACAAGAGTATGCTATAGATCATTTTACCCCCTCTGAATTTATGGAGAGCCACGTGTGAAGTGGTTGCCCCAGAACATGCCCTGGCAGCAGCAGCAGCACAGTGCTGTGGGCTCCCGCCTCAGAGTGCTTTCCTGACCACGCCAGGCAAGGAGCTGATGCCGCAAACTCTGCTAGAAAGACACTCTGCATGAGTGCTGTCTCCCCAGGATGATTCAACCTCAATAAAGATATTGTGCCACTCCAAGACACCCTGACCAAATAAATGTCCCAGCCACACCAGACCCATCTCCTTTCTGTTCCATCATCAATTCTGCACCAGGGAGCAAAGAAGGGTTCAGGTTTGGGTCTCCTCATCCTCTCCAGAGTCTACAGATAGCTTCTTCAACAAGAAGGGGCATATGCAATGCACTTGGTGGCTCTGATTTAGTCACAAGCTAAGTATCCTTAGAAAACCATGGCATATTATGACAAAAATGGCCAAATCATGAATTCTATGTAATAAGTCAGTGAATTTTGTGCTGCAATAGCCACAAGGTGGTGGTCAGCATGAAGTTAGAGGGAAAAGGTTAACGATGCCAATCCAACTTTAGCAGTAAGAGATACCTCCCCAAACCAAGATTCTCTGTGTTTTGGTAAGTACGCTGCTATGACAGAGATGGGTGCATCGTTTGCCTATTTCTTAGAAACTACTATGTCCCAGAGTTCTGGGCTCTTGGGATACATCAGTAAACCAGAGGTAAAGCTCTGTGCTGATATGGGCACCCACTCTAGTGTAAGGAATGATGATGATGAGCAAGCATTTGTAGCACATGAAGTAAAGTGACAAGTGTGCTGCAAAAAAAGAAAAAGCTGAGGTGGGGGAGGTGTCTGGGTATGTATTCGTGACTGGGTGGGGTTCCAATTTTAACTAAGTGGTCATGATAAGTCTCATGGAAAAAGTAACAAATGAGCAAAAATTTGAAGGACATGGGGAGTTAGCCATGCAGGCATCTGTGGAAAAACCCCACAGAGCAAACAGCAGTGCTAAATCCTGAGACAGGAGCTCATCCAGCAGGTGTGAAGATCATCAAGGAGGTCATGGTGGCCACAGCACGGGGTAGCATGAGGGAGGAGGGTGAGGAAGAGCCAGAGGAGAGTTCAGAGAGGCAAAGGGCTGAAGGGGCCGATCAGAGGGGCCTCGGAGACCATCTGCAAGGCTCTGGCTATTCCTCTGAGTGAAGAGGAGACAACAGCAGGTTGTCAGCAGTAGAAACACAATCTGATCTACTTTTGACAAGGATTGCCCTGGCTGCTATGTTACATGGGGGAGGTGGTCACTACCACTGACAGTATCAAAAACCAGTGTAATATACACGAATTTATCATTTTGTATCAGGAGGAAATTCTTATGTTGGTAATAGTATCCATCTTGCTAACTTGGCTACCCTCTTGAGGGTCCCCTGGGATTTGGGTCAACATGCTATTTCTCAGTATAAAGCCCCCTTTCTCTTAAGAAAACACACGGAAGCAGAAAAGAAGAGAATGAATCCAAAAGGAAGGAGTGATGGGGACCCTGTGCCCAGGGCTCAGAACTCCAGCAGGAATAGGAGCAGGGAGGCCAATTTGGAGGCTCCTTGCAGAGATCCAGGGAAAGCTGACAACAAGGGAGTGAGAGGTGCCCAGACCTGGGAGCATGGAGGACAGCACCAAAGAAATTGCCCACAGGCTGGATGTAGAGAAAGAGAGGAGGCAGAGACACCTGTGGTTCGGAAGGGAACATCATGGCGGGGTATCAGAATTCTGACTCAGACACCTGGGTTGGAGGTGACAGTCGGCAGACAGGAGGATAGAGGAGTCTGAGGTGTGGAGAGAGGTGTGGGCTGCAGGTAGACTTGCGAGCCACTGGCATACAGATGATCTGTAAAGCCGTAATGCTGAGTGCAGAGAGAGTACCAAGGGAGCAATGTGGAGTGAGAGAAGACAAGGAGTCAACCCCAGGGTGCCCCACACTAGAGGGTGGGGAGAAGAGGCGGCACCATTAGGTGCCTGTGACAGATGCCGAAAGAAGGCATGAGACAAAAGAGAGGAAGAGGGACCCCTGTCTGATGCCAAAGTGGGCTCGGGGAGTGTTCTGACCATTCAGATAGGACACAACTATACTCCTAAGAGCATGCTTGGTGCCCATCAGCCTGGCAGGAACAACCAATGGCCTCCACTACCGTTTCTCCTTCTCACTCACACCTCCTGTCTTCCACAGTACTCAGGGCAGTGTTACACAAACATCTGTCTCCAGAGCTGAGGCAGCCTCTGGAGTCTGACAAATGTCTTCCTCTTGCCGAGGTGCCCTGAGCCCTGCCGGCAATCTCCTGACTGAGAAGACAGTGTGAAACAGGAGGAAGCTCCGCACTGGGGCCAGCTTTGCCTCAGCTCTGCTGGTTCCAACCTGAGTGGTCCCAGGCAGTGCAGTCCTTCTAAGCCCTAACTTCCACACCCATAAAGGGGCCTCTGTGTTGTAAAGCTGAAAGCAGTTAAATTCACAGCATGCCAGCAAGAACAGAGCCTGGGAAACAGTGGTGCTCAGTGAGCATTTTCTCCTGCCTCTCTTCTTTTGCTACTATAAACCACAGCTCAGAAAACGAGACCTGCATGAAACAGGTGTGGCCAAGCTGGCATTCAGCTCTCTTCCTCCTACAGGTCAGGGCCTGAATATAAAGGTGTGCATGTGCCTGCAGTCCTGAAGCTCCCTTCACGGGGCCACAGAGGCCTTGGTGACCAAGAGGAAGACTTCTGCTAACACCACCATCCTGACATGAATCACCCAGAGCAGAGATAACAGGTAGGCCTGGTAAACCTTACCCAGCTCTCAGGTGCCAGGTGCTCACCCCAGGAGAAGCCCATCCAGTCCTCAACCTGTCAGGTCCCCCACCCTCCACATGAAGCCATCTCAATGGCTCTGCACCACTCAACTCTACTGGAAGGGAGAGGGCTCCCCGAGTCATGTCATCTACCTGCCTTGTACCCAGCTTATGGAGGAACCGTGCCCTGGCTTACCTTCTCGATGTCTACCAGTTCAGTCTCATAGATCTCCGCAATGGTGATGTGGTGCTTGGCTGCGATCGTAAACCTTCCCTGGGGGAAAAAACAAAAAAACAGAGTTACGTTCTGCTTTTACCTTTTTGAATGCCAATCCCTTTAGGAAACAAAAAACAACAGCAAAAGTACAACTGTAAGCCATCTCCAGGATTCCACCCCACAGCCGCTCAAGCAAGGCAGTGTCTTACCATGTCTGTGTAAATGTCGATGGCTGCATTTAAGCAGTTGATAGCCTCTGAAGCGAAGGCATTTAAGAAAAACAATGAAAAATCCATTCAGTCAAAGAGGGTTCCGGGGAGCCTATCTTCCTGGCTGTTACTAGAACGTTAAAGAGGTTGAATTTGGGGTGGACGATGTGCAGCCGAGTTAGTAAAAAGCAAGCAGAAATCACACACAAGGACAGACACCTCGGTATGCTCGGTCCCCAGCAGGGGTAGTGCAATTTAGAGAACTGGAGCTGGCGTGGGACTGGCTCACTACTCTCAACCTGCCAGTGAAGACCCCATCCAGGGCCAAGACTGCATTAAAAAGCAGACAAACCATGAGGGCTGTCATCAACACTCATCAGCTCTAGCTGCTAAAACATAAATGTAAATGCATTCTTCACTGATATCATGTATATATATGAATTCTGGAAGACAGTCCTTCATAAGGAAGATCATTTCAATAGATTTGATTCTTCATGCAGCCAAAATCAAAAGCACTTTGAAATACCTGTTCAAACAACCCTTAAGCAAAGTCAACATTTCATACAATGTTAAAAGATGCTAACTTTTGGTGTACCAGTATATGCCAAAAGGAAGAAAAAAAATCTAGTAAGTGATACTAATAAATTCTATTAATTTTTTAAAACACTGAGCCAACAAATTTCCTGTCACAAAATGGTGGTCCTTATAATGTTGCCCTATGGGCAACAGCTCCAAATTTATTGCTTTTGCTTTAAAGGAGGTAGCAAAGAGAAAAGGCCTGACTGAAGAATTAGAAAGGTACAGAGATTAACAAAATTAAAAGCAACTTTCTCCCAAGCTATATCAAGAAATGTGGTTTGTTACACCTTTAAAAATACAGAAAAATAAGCTACCCAGAATGCCACTCAAACCCACTGCTAGTATTTTGATGCACTTTTCCTTCCAGTGTTTTCTGGATGCATTTCTATGTGCACATATTTCTTTATAAATTTGAGATCTCAATTCTCATGTGGTTCTTTGGTTACCATGTGGACAATGACCAGTCATTGAAGAAGCTCTGAATCCAGGGACTTTAATGCCTGCATCATATTCTAGAATACTGATGCATTTTAATTTTACCATTCTATCCTTGCTGTTCATTTAGGCCGTGTCCAGTTTTTCACATTTGGAAATAGAGTGTGACAATCTTTATACAAAAGCCCTCGAAGCATTTTCATTCTCAATGATATATTCATAATAAAAGTTGGGATTTTTGTGTTAAAATACACTGCTAAAAGAGAAAAATGGGAGACTCCACAGCCTCCAGCGCATGTGCTACAGGAATAAGTTAGTACTTTTAATCAATAAATGTATACTCTTAACTAAAAAAAAAAATTTGCAAAATTTTGCCACTTTAAATACCCAAGTTCATTCTTTCTTCAAAACCAGTACTTTGAAAAAAGTCAGATGAATACTGTGTGAATAAGTTGTTTTTAACTATCAGATATTATAATCTCCCATTAACTGGATCTTAAAATGCACCACGTATTTAGGAGTGAGGAACCATTCCTTCTCTTTAACGAGTAATAATATATTCATAAAATTAAATGGCATTTAAAAAAACAGTGCTGTCAACTAAATAGCTAGGACAAATTGAACACAATTTCTCCTCATAAAAGCTCAAAATGATTACAGAAAAATCCCTAAAATTACTAAAATGTCTATTTTCCCAAAGCACCAAAATTTATTTTACCAGGACTCCAAGGTCCAGCAGCATACCCTGTGAGAAAGGTCCCTGACATCGACCCTACGGTTCTAGTTGTGCAGAGATGCAGGCAAGTCTTACCTTGAGGGTCTGCCTTCTTGTAAGCATTGCCAGCATCCACAAAGCTGGTGGCAGAATCATGCTTGCTCTGAAGCTGCATATGGAGCTTGGCTGCCTGACAAAATGCATTTCCTGCAGCTGAAGAAGACAAGTCACTACAATTAATCACAGAGCAGCCGGTGTCCCAGGGTAGTCCGTGCTCTAAGTGCTGGACCTACCCCTAGAAAAGTTCCTTGTCACTGAAAAGAAGCATTCCAGTCAGAAGCATATATAAATGTGGTCAAGTGCACTTCAGGTATGTATAAAGAAATCAGAACCAAGTTCAACGGTGACAAAAGTGTCTCTCAGCCCCAGAAAACCTCCCAAGTGACACCTGGGCAACAGGCCTCCATTTAGTACCAGAGCCAGTCACGTTCAACTCTGTCCCCCAGCATATATTAAATACTGACTTGTGGCTTTAGGCCACAAGTATTTAAAGAAAGGTAAAACACTGCGGTCAAGGATACTTATTTACTCATCTTTCTATCTCACAGAGTCCACTGGACTTGTTGGCTGTCATTGTTGAAGAAAGCATTAATGGAAGCTTCTTGGACAAAGTAAGTATCTCAGAGAGTGAAAATCAAGGCCCACAATTTCAAAACTCCAAGTTTCTTAAGTTATAACAAAATCGGACTGAACTTCATATGAGGTTTAACATGTCTTTATCTCCCACTTAGTGTGAAAACTTGCACATTCCCTGTGGGATGACGGATGGGTTTGGTTACAGGGTGCTGTCCAGGTTTCTGTTGGAACAAGGCACAATGTGAAAGTTTTATGCACTTAATTTTTTCAGAAAAGGTTTCGATCAGGGACTGTAGATTCTGGAGCAGCAGAAAAGAATGAGGGAAGGAATCCCTAGCACAGAAGTCTCATGAACAAGGAACAAATGCTTGAAGACAAGAAAAGGCTGGGAACAGAGGCCAGTGACAAGTCCATGCTGCCTGCAGGAGGGATGAACACAGTGGGCAGGGGAAGTGAAGGCTGAAGGTGCCATGAGGCCAGTTCTGGGAGATTTAAATGCCAGCACGAGGAACCTGGACAAGGATGAGCCCACCACTGTCTTGAAGTTCTTGGCTCAGAGAGAACAACCATAGACTGGGAAGCACGAGGCCTGTGGAGTCACAGCTCAGTAAGGTCTGGAATAGGGAAGTCAGCACTAACAGGAATGGATGGGAAAGAGATCCCTCCACTAGGAAAAACATGATGAAGAATATCATAAGAACTTGTGGTACTTAAAAAAAAATGTTTTTAGTCATTTCAAAAACATTCAGAAAAGTACAGAAAATCGTGAGAGACACCAAAAAACCCACTGCTGGTATTAAGAAATAAAGCATTCAATTCCACAAAGCTTTGGCTATCATCCCTTATTCTGACCCCTCTTCCAGAGGTAACCACACAATTCCTACTCAGGCTTCTGGACTTCCACTAAGGGAAAAGAAGCAGTACAGACTCCTGATCCAGCCTGCCCAGGCTCGACTCTGGCTCTGTGCCAGACAAAAAGAGTGCCCAGGCAGTGTTGAAAATACTCAGCCATCAGTGTGGCACAGGCACTGAGCAATCAGAGAGGAAGTGGCCCCCAGTTGGAGCTGGGACTGGAGAACCCCTGCCCACCAGGCTTTACCCCTTAAACTGGTGACTCATGGGGCTGGCAGTCCCAGAGGAGGGGCCAAGCCTGCCGCCAGGGGAGTAAGCAGGCACATGGGTACCTGTGGCAGCAGCTAACTGAATGGCAGCTCTGATGGGCTCTGCCTAAGGAGAGTACAGTAATAGCTTGGACCTCCCAAGTAAAGTGCTTCCAACAGACTGGCTCCTGTTATGCATGCATCGGCCAATCTCATTAGTACACGCGAATCTATCCTTAGACCATACCTTTATAAAACACAAAAGATAAAAAACGCTGAGACAATGCTCTTTGTCTCCTCTATTGTTTTCAGTATGTTATAATTCAGATAGAAGTACATTTTGAAAACATAACACATCGTTTTAACCTAAAACTTAACCTATAAATGAATTTTAGTCAGAAAGGAACTTTCAGATTCATGTACTTCTACAGCCATTTCTTCATAGAAATGCTTTTAAAGTGTCAGCTTTAATGGGTAAATCAACACAGTATACACCCTAAGCTTATACAATGTTATAGTCCATTTTATCTCAATAAAACTGGGGGAAAAAAAGCAGATGGGGAAATGATTTGTAGAGGGCAAAGGCCCTACTTTAGATCACACAGCAGGTGCAAGCCAGGGCTAGAGACCCAGTCCCTGCTCCAGCTCAAGGCAGTCTCCATTTTCACGACAGAGAGACCCTATCACAGAGACATAACAAGCCCCTTTTTACATGGTAGGGGATGAATTTGTTTCTCAAATCAGTGTTAGAAACAGTCATCCTCTCTCAAACCAGTAAATAATTCCATTGTTTTGGAAGTGATTTTGTTATGTGTAATTTCACTGGATAGAAAGCATTATGTTAAAAAGTGACAATAAAAATGTTGAGGTTTATAGAAATAACACCCTTACTGGGTGTTCCATTTCTCAATGGAACCTCAATCAGCTATCACAGAGCTGTTCCCACAGTAAGAAATTCTCACCCAATGTTTAGGTAAAGAAAAATAGGCTTTGTTCACTTAGATCAAGGTTCTTTTCTCCCAGACCACAGTGGCCACACCAGTTACTCCAGCACGTACACCTGCCTCAGCCAACAGGAGGAAATGCAGACAGTTATTTCTTCCTTCAAGATGATTTTAAAGTTATTTGCCTGAAAAGCAAACAAACAAAAACTTTATACATACCACTCCAATTTTTAGCCATCTTGAACATATTTGCAGCTCTGGTATACATTTCACAAGCCTCTTCTATTTTTGTGTTTCCTCTGAGAAAAATTTAAAAACGAGGTTAAGTTTTACTACAGCAACCATCCACATCTCTAATTCTCCCTCCCTCAAATAATAAGCATTTAATGAGCACTTACTATGTGCCAGACAAGTACAGAATCTTAACAGCTGCTCACTCAAAGCATATACTCTTATTAACCCTATTTTCCAAATGAGGAAACTGAGGCATACATAAGTAAAGTAACTAGCCCAAGGTCACAAAGCAAGAATGCCACAGAACTGAGACTCAAATACAGATCTGGCTGATCTCAGAGCCACGCCCTTAACCAATTTCCATGCATGGAAATTGAAGTTTTAGGTCAATTGGAGAAATAAGAAGTACATTATTCAAATGAGATTAAATTTTGAAGGTTAAAGACACTTTACCCTGTTAATTTTTAAGAGTTTAGCACTATGTTTATTTAGACTTTAAAAACAAAAAAACAAAAACCTGAAGCCAGAGCATAAAAGAAATGCCATGTTTTTTGACTGCTATATTATCACCTCTGGCAGGAGACAAGCTCTTCTCCAAGAAAGGAAGGGGGAAGGCCTCAGAGTCCAGCCCATCATCCTGTGTGGAAATGCATTTACGACATCCCGAGAGAAGGAAACTCTACCGTTGCTTGCATACATACTGTTCTGGAAAGTTCTCCACTAGACAGCTGATTCCACTGAGGGACAGCTTTAGCTGTCAGACATTTCTTCTTACACAAAGGCAAAAATAATCCTCTGTAACTAGCACCAGAGTTTTCCAATTTGACCTGGTTCTTCCTAAAAGCTAAACTAAGACCCCTCTATAAATGATGTTTCTCTACCTCTTCTATCTACGCTATAAACATAAATAACCAGAAAATGAAGACAAAGTACTGCGTGCAGTGCATATGAGGAATTCAGAGGGGTTTAAGGACATAAGGACTAAGAGAAAGGGGAGATCAAGGCTCAGTCTTCGAGTGGGCACAATATGAACAAGAGTGAGCACATACATATATGCCAGAAACTCAAAGAGGCTCCGAGCTCTGGCAGAGGGGCATGGACAGCTCTGTATCCATACGTGTCCCACTGCAGTACACTGAGGCTCACATGTGACTTGCACCTTAGGCAGTAACTACTGTCTTACCCCAGGCTAGTTCTTTAACTTCTCTGGGCCTCAGTTTTTGCATGTGTAAACAGCAGATAATAGAATCTATACTTGTTGGTCATTATAAAGATCAAAGGAAATAATCCATATATAGTGGCCACTGCAGGGCTTGACCCAGAGTAGGTACTCAATCAGGATGATTATTATAATTAGATTCATGTACTGAAGGCATAAAAACTTTTGGGCATATTTGTACAAATAAGGGACATGTCTGCTAAGGGACTTATATCTGAAATATGTAACGAACTCTTACAACTCAATAATAAAATGACTAATAATTAAAAAAATAGACAAAGGATCTGATTAGACATTTCCTCAAAGAAGATATACAAACAGCCAATAAGCACATGAAAAGATGTTCAACATCATTAGCCATCAGGGAAATGCAAATCAAAACCACAAATGAGATCTCATTTCACACCCATAAGGATGGCTAGAATCAAAAGACAGTAACAAATGTTAGGGAGGATGTATAGAAACTGGAATCCTCCTATACTGCTGGTACAAATGTAAAATGCTGCAGCCACATTTAGTGAGTTGCTCAAAAGGTTAAACATAGAGTTACTATATGACCCAGCAACTCCACTCCTTGGTACACACCCAAGAGAAATGAAAAGACTACATCCATACAAAAACTTGTATATAAATGTTCAACCCTAGCATCATTCATAACTGCCAGAAAGTGGGAACAACCTAAATGTCCATCAACTGATAAAAAAAATGTGGTATACACATACAATGGGATATTAGACAATAAAAAGAAATGAAGTACTGATATATGCTCTAATATGGATAAGCCTTGAAAACATTATGTTTAAATGAAAGAAGCCATGAGCATATTGTAAGATTTCACTTCAGAGCAAGCAAATCTATAGAGACAGAATACAGATTAGTGGTTGCCTAGAGTTCTGGAGAAAAATGGGGAGGGGCAAGGAGAGTAGAGTTTCTTTTTGTGGCGATGAGAATGTTCTAAAATTGACTGTTATGATGGATGCACAGCTTTGTGACTAAGCTAAAAACTACTGAACTGGACACTTTAAATGGATGAATTATACAGTATGTGAATTATATCTAAAGCTGTATCACTCCCTCCCCCCCCACGCACACAAAAAGAAAAAAGCCTTCGGGGGTTATGTCACACAGTGAATGACAGGATGGCGACAAGCCACACCAAAAATGCAGCGTCAGAATTAGTAAAGCTTTCTTTCAATCACACCTTCATATATTAAAACAACAACAACAAAACAATTAGCTAATTACCCCAGTGGAAAATTCCCAAGTTTCCGATCTTAGCCATAACTCCTTGGAGCTAACAAAGGCTTACCACTTTCTTATTTTTCTAAAGTGTACCAGGAATCTTGCACTGTAATTATAGTTCATTCATTCTTATTAAAGATTTCCAAATAAAACTAGCTTAATTAAAATGTACTTTACCCTATTATTTTTGGAGACAGATTCAGCTAGGAATAATAGAACACCTACATTATGCTAGGTTTTTATGCTGGGTATTTCCACATATGTTATGTCATTTTCATCATTATTACAACCACAATGAAAGATGCTAACTCCATTTGACAGAAGAGAAAACTGTATCTGGGGATACCTGGCTCAGGTCATGATCCAGGGATCTTGGGATTGAGCCCTGCATCAGGCTCCCTGCTCAGTGGGAAGCCCTGCTTCCCACAAGCCCTCTGCTTGTGCTCTCTCTCAAATAAATGAATAAAATCTAAGGAAAAAAAAAAGAAAGAAAACTGTATCTGGAGATCAATGGCTCAACCAAGGTCATCTAGCCAAGGTCAGTAGTGGAGCTGAACCTGATACCAAGTTCAGTGATCATTACAAAAATAATGAATACATTTTTATAAAAACTTAAGACTCTCACCTCTCCTAAAATAGAATCACGAGAAGTATACTCATTTTAAAAGCACTCGAAAAACTTACTTGTCACAAACACAACTTTAACAATTTATGAAAAAATGTACTTCTGAAATCATTCCAAATGCCTACTGTGTTCTATTCATGTGAAAGTTAATGTTTCTGAGTTTTAAGGACAAATATTCAGAACTCATGTTCAAATAATTCAAATGATTGTTATTCAGAGCCCCCATAAGTGAAGTATAAGATCCTTGAAAAGAGAAACAAGTTTCTATGAGGGAATCTACATTATAAGGTGATACAATATAAGTACAGGGCACTGACCTGACATTAAGAAAAGCTAAACTGAGCCAAATTAACTATTTGGGGAGATTATGCTACCATGAACTTGAAGAAAACGCTTTTTGTGCCACTAATGGAAACAGTGACCAGCCTAAGAACCACCACTGCCACCACCATCACCTACATCACCATCACCTCCATCACCTCTACCACCACCATCACCACCCCACCCATGCAGCCCCAGCTGACCCCACCAACTCTCAATTCCAGGGGCAAGGCAGACTCCCTTCCCTTCTTGACCATGCTTATTCAGGAGACATTCACTGAGATCAGTAAGTGTCAGAAAACACTAAGAAAAGAATGTTCTTGGGGCACCTGGGTGGCTCAGTCGTTAAGCGTCTGCCTTCAGCTCAGGTCACGATCCCAGGGTCCTGGGATCGAGCCCTGCATCAGGTTCCCTGATCCGCGGGGAGCCTGCTTCTCCCTCTCCCACTCCCCCTGCTTGTGTTCCCTCTCTCGCTGTGTCTCTGTCAAATAAATAAACAAAATCTTAAAAAAAAAAAAAAAAAGGAATGTTCTTGCCCACGAAGAGATCAGAATACTGAGGAAAAAGTATTTAACTTCAGGGCTTGGAAAAGATCGGAGTGCCCATCCCACCTCACATGTTGCACTGAAGAAACGTGGTAAGAGCCACAACATGTCCCACCAGGAGCCAGTGAACCACAGAGCAGTGCCTTGAGCCGAGCCTGCAAGTCCCTGCCTCTCTTCACAGTTGCATCCTGTCTGTTCCTATTCAGATGCTGGGGGCACGGGGAGGAGAACCCAGCCTGGGAAACTACAGCCCATTATTTCAAAGAGCTCCCACAACATCCACATGCAGATAAGTCATTGATATTTTAAAAACCAATTAATCCTCAAATAATCTGAAGTCTTGATTTTTCCTCATCCTGAATAAGAACTATTTTTAGAGCACTACAAAACCCTGGCAACCATAGTACATGCTCTTTTAGGACTGTGGGTGGGAAGAGGGGGGCGTTAAAGTAGCAACATGGAGACTAATGGCACACACATCATGAGATGTACCCAAAAGAAAAGGAGGCAACTGCTAAGGGAGAAATAAAGTTGCTTCTAAAATCACAGAGTAGGGCGCCTAGGTGGCTCAGTTGGTTAAGCGACTGCCTTCGGCTCAGGTCATGATCCTGGAGTCCCAGGATCGAGTCCTGCATCGGGCTCCTCGCTTGGCGGGGAGTCTGCTTCTCCCTCTGACCCTCCCCCCTCTCATGCTCTCTGTCTCTATCTCATTCTCTCTCTCAAATAAATAAAATCTTTAAAAAAATAAAAAAAATAAAATCACAGAGTAGCAGAGAAGAAATATAAAAAGTGACACAGTGCTGTGAGAATGTGAACGCAGAACTAGAGACAAAATTCAACTCTATCATCGTAGTATCCTGAAGGGATGTCAAACTACATCAGGGGACTACAAATAGGGATCACTTTTTGGAGTGCCTGGGACCCGTGGGGGAAACCCCACCGACTAGGACAGCTCTTTACTTTCACTATTTATGAGCAACATTACTTTAGCCCTTAGGCTGACCCTGGGGACAGAGACCAGCACAGGGCCTGGCACACAAGTCTCAATAACAATGCTGACCGCTCAGGGTCTGGATGGAAGAAACTACCCACATTACATTTTTTGGGAAGTTT